AGGTTCACTCAGAATGGAAATGTACACTATGACAACATGGCCATCAACTAAACACTTTGAATGAAATCATGAATAAGTTAGTGGGCCAAATTTGTCAACCAGTTATGCCGAGTGTAGGGAACCACTTTCAAGCTAGACGATTGTTGGACATAGTTCCCCAGTCCCGAGTCCGAATCAAGGAATAGAACCACGTTTTGGACCAACTACTTCAAACCATGAGGGTAGTGGAATGACAAATTTGAATAGTTGTAATTGAATATCAAATCTGGGAGGTAACCCAAATGCAAGAAATAATATCCAAACCAATGGACAGAACACCCCGCGTGTTAATGATTGTGGAAATACTCAAGCTAATGTTAATAATAGTTTAAATAATAACATTTTTGCCACAAACCAAGGACCAAACATTTGACCTCCAATAATTCCACCAATAAATCAACATATATGAGTTCCATATGATCTCAACGTTGTGTTGAGAACTCAAATTATTGAGATGGTACATGATCAAATGGCTTTTGGGATATGTCCTTTTATTAGGCTGACTTACACAAAGTCATATCATAATTGGATAGATCAAGCATATATGTGGCCTAGAGGGTACAAAGTTCCAGAGTTTTCATTATTTACTGGTCTGTGAAAAGTTTCTACTCTGGAACATATAGGGCGATTCACACTGCGAAGTGGTAAAGTAACTGATTATCACAAAATGAGTGTGTTCCCTGGTTTGTTAATAGGAGTAGCTTTCTTATGGTTCATTACTTTGCCAGCAAATTCTGTCCAAACATGGCAACAACTAGAACAATTGTTCCACGCTTAGTTTTACAAAACTGAATCTGAAATTACTTTGGCCGACTTGACGAATTTACGTCAAATGTCAAACGAATGGGCAGAAAGTTTCATTCAGAGGTTTAAGACAGTTAGGAGCAAATGTTTTGTACCTCTACTCAAAAAAGAATTCGTTAAAATTTGTTATAGAGTTAGGATAATTATGATTTTTCATTAAAACGAGGGCATAATTTTTTAAATTCGCCTACATGTTAGTTGGGGCTTGGTAAAGAAAGTGAATTTTTGAAGCTAATAACCTAGCCTCTTGTCACCCTTTGTAAAAGAGTTTTTAGAGGAACATGATTTTTGGAATAATAATTTTTTTTTGAAAATGTGTGGTTAAAAAGTATGGAGTATATTCGGGTTTATGTGTAATATTATTTTATTGAGAGAATGTATGATT